ACTGTTTCAATTTCTTTTTGTGATATGGGTACGTTTAAGCTGTTCATCTCTTCTTGGTTTAGTTTTGGTGTTTCCCATGCCTTTAGATATGCATCCATTTCTTTTAGATTTTCAAATTTAGTAGCATATAAGTTTTTAAAGTATTAATGTTCCATATCTTTCTGGTGTCTGTTGTGATGTTTCCCCTCTCATATCTGATTTTGTTGATTTGGAGGTTTTCTTTCTTTTGGTTAACTGAGTTAGTGGTCTGTCAATCTTGTTTATCTTTTCAAAGAACCAGCTCTTGGACTAGTTGATTCTTTGTATTGTTTTCTTTGTTTCAGTTTCATTGATTTCTGCCCTGATTTTTATTTCTTCTTCTTGTCTGCTGGGTTTGGGTTTTGTTTGTTGTTGCTTTTCTGGTGTCTTGAGTTGCAATGTTAAGTCATTTATTTGTGTTCTTTCCGATTTTTTGATGTAGCCACTTAGAGCTATAAACTTCCCTCTCAGGACAGCTTTCAGCGTGTCCCCGAGGTTTTGTTGTGTTGTATTGTCCTTTTCATTTAGTTCCAGGAATACTTTTATTTCTTTCTTAATTTCTCTTTTGACCCATTCATCATTCAGGAGTGTGTTGTTTAATCTCCATGTGTTATTAGGTCTTCTGGTGTTGGTTGTAAGCTTTATTGCATTGTGGTCTGATAGAATGCATGGAATTATTTTAATCTTTAGTATTTGTTGAGGTGTTTTGTGCCCTAGTATATTGTCGGTTTTGGAGAAGGTTCTATGGGGTACTGAGTAGAAAGTATGTCTCTTGGTGCCTGGGTGGAATACTTGGTAGATGCCTGTTAAGTCCATTTGATGTATGGTATTGTTTAATTCAGATGTCTCTCTGTTAACTCTGTTCTGTTGACCTGTCTATTGGAGACGGTGGGGTGTTGAAGTCCCCTACTATTAATGAGTTGGGATTAATCTGGGTTATAAAGTCCTGTAGTATTGTTTTTATGAAGTTGGGTGCACCAGAGTTTGGTGAATATATGTTCATGATTGTAATATCTTCTTGATTCTTTCTTCCTTTGATCAAAATGAAGTAGTCCTCTTTGTCTCCTCTGATTAGTTTTAGTTTAAAGTCTATTTTGTCAGATACTAGAATAGCTACATCTGCTTTTTTCTTAGTGCTATTTGGTTGGTATATTTTTTCCATTCTTTCACTTTGAGATAATGTCTGTCCTTGAAAGTGAGATGAGTTTCTTGCAGACAA